TTGGAGATGGATCTTTTATTTTCTAAAATTTATGATGTAAAATTTGTTTATATGGCAATTTCTATTGAATGACTTTAAATTATTATTATTATTATTATTATTATTATTATTATTATTAGTATTAGTATTTTGGGTATTTCAAGACAGGGTTTCTCTGTGGCTTTGGAGGCTGTCCTGGAACTAGCTCTTGTAGACCAGGCTGATCTCAAACTCACAGAGATCCACCTGCCTCTGCCTCCCTCGTGCTGGGATTAAAGGCATGCGCCACCAACGCCCAACCAAAATAATGCAATCATCACAAAAATAATACTTCTAACTTCCTACTCAAGTACAGGTTTTTCCAGGGGAAACAAGTGTGACATATGTATTTTTTAAACTTTCAAGTCAGGGCTAGAGAGATTGTACAGTAGTTAAGAGCATTGGCTGCCTGCCTTTCCAGAGGACTCAGCTATAGACTCTAATGAGCTGACATGTAGGTGCTGGGAACTGAACTCAGGTCCTGTGCAAGAGCAGCAAGGGCTTTGGTTCACTGAGACATCTTTGCAGCCCTTCCATTTTCCTTTTTTTAATGTGAACATTGTATTCTACTGTTAGGTTGTTCCATATTGTCTATTGCTGTACAGGTGGACCCTTAGATTTTTAGTATTATTTTCTTTTTTGCCTTTGCAAACAGTTGTGCACTAACACCTCACCTTTGCACAGAGCTAAGGGACACCTTTGTAGAACTGAAATAGTTGAGTTAAAATATATGTAGACTTGGGACGGAAATTGAGCCAGGACTGGATCCGACTATCTACAATGCTCTTTCCTCCATCTGTTGTTGAGATAGTGCATGCGTCCTTTGTCTTCTGCTCACCCTTTTTTTGCCTTGTTTCCTTTGCAGATAATCATCAGTATCCTATTACCTCCCATGATTTTGACATTGGAATTTAAGAGCAAAGCTGAGATGTCCCATGTCCCACAATCCCAGGATTTCCAGTTTACGTGGAATTACAGTGACCAGGGACTCAACAACACCAAGGAAAGTGCTTATGAGGTTAGTACACCTCTGTAGTCAATTGAGTTTCCATGGCATAACAGTGTGTGGAGACGCACAAGCATGGAGCTTATCTGTAAATAGGCATCTGTTAAACAAAGTGTTTGCCTTTTTACTATTAACAGGGTATTTATTAACCCTACCCCCTGTACACACCTGTGTGTGTGTGTTGTTGTTGTTGTTGTTGTCTTGCTATGTTTCCCAGAATGGCTTTGAATTTCTGGCCAATGTTTCAGTCCAGTGAAGTTACAAAATACCCTGGGGCTACGCATTACTCTAAAAGCCCAGGGCTGATTCATCAATCAAGCATTTAGTTCTCTCTGTGTAATCTCCATCTCATTATATACCAGTTAGGTAGAGCATGTAAACAAAGTATCCCATTTCTGCTTCAAAGACAAAGTCATCATGTCCAACAACTGTGTCAGCATTGCTCTGAGAGCGGCGGAACAGGTCAGCTTACTACTTCAAGTCTCCATTAACGCTGCCACACACCCCTACGGTTCTCATCTGTAAAGATGCCTTTAGAATTTGTGTTGACGGGCCTGAGAGAGATGGCACAGTGGGTGAAGGTACTTGCTGCCAAGCCTGGCAACCTGAGTTCAATACCTGACCTCACCCGGAGGAAGGAGAGAACTGACTGCAACAGGTTGTCCTCTGACCTCCACACATATGCTGTGATACACATGTACCTCTCAAGCAAACGTAACAAAAGAGTTTTGTTGACCCTCTCACATATCTCATCCTTCACCACCAGTGGTTGTGGGTGGGTTCTGGATGTGTGTTCTCCCCTGGGCTGGGAGCCACTTCCCCAGCATTTGACTGCCACAGCCAGGTGTCCAGGATGCTGTGAATGCTCTCTTTGCTCTCTGTTCCCACTCTGATGACCACTGCTCCAAAAGCTGCCTTTGCCCCAAGGTGTGGTAAATATCTTCTCTGGCACTTGGCACATTTATTTAAACAGTCTTTGTTCTCCAAATACTAAATGAAGATTACTTTTGTGGCTAACAGTTGTTGGTGACTGGTTGAACATCTGCATTCGGAAGCCCCAGAGATCTGCCTCATCCCTGTCAGTAAGGATTTTAGTTATTGCTTCTGCTTATGTGTGTGTATATCCCCCTTTCTCTCTCCCCTTTCTCCTTCCTTCCTTCTTCCTAGTTCCATCTTTAATCCCTGGAAACCAGGAAGCCAAATACCGTCTACTGTCTGTAGAATGCATGAGGAATCTCTGGGCTAGTCACTGGTCTCAGGTCCAAACACAGCAAAGGGAAGAAGTGCGGGGATGTCCCCACCCCTAGTGACATCACACAGGCCTGGTGCAGGGGTACTCTGCTTGGATGTATGCCTGCTTGATTCTGCATGCCAAGTTTAGTTTGGTAGTTGAAGCAGAACAAAGAAGAAAGCTGTACATCACCTTAGAAGGTACTCACAAATCTCACAGGACATAGGTGATAGTTTGCCAGTGGTATGACACAATTCTACTTTTAGCTCTCACTCACTCTGTAGAATGGTGGACTCACGAACACTTGAAGGTTTTGTGGGAACTGGTGCATTACTCTTGGAACTATTCTCAAAGGGGACACAGTTCCTTCACAGAATGGAAGGAAATGTGCCTTTAATATTAAAAAAATACAGAAAGTTCTTGAAACCCCCTGACTTGTGTCCTGCTGTAGCAGTTGTCTGCCTAGGTGGTTTAGATGTGGCCGTATCAATTGTTGAATTGACTCAATAGTTACACTAAGGCAGATGTGGCCTCTGTCATGATGGGCTTATTATCAGAAAAATATCCATGAAACCTTAGCATTCTTCAATTTGAAACACTTAGTGAAAGAGTTGTTCAAGTGTATTCTGTTATGAATGGCTTGTGATAATAAAAATCGATTTTGTTCCTACTCTTTGTATTCATTTTAATAAAAAATTATTGAGTACACTAGCCATTCCCACTTCCCTGCAATCATTATTTATTTTTTTTTCTGGCAGATTTGATAATCTATATGAGTTCATAATACTACTTAGGTAAATGTAATTGATTAGCAGAGGAATACATGGTTTACACTGTGGGAGAAAGCTGGAGGCAGCAATCTAAACAGATGTGGTTTAATGTGTCTTTGTGGTAGTAAGTTTATAGAAGGGAAGAGTCTTCTTGTTCCTGTGGGGAGCTGAAGCTGTATTGAACCAACTTCTCCATCTCTCTGTCTCCGTCTTTCTCTTCCTCACATGAGTGTTGCACTGTCTTGCTGTATTTCCTAGAATGGCCTTGAATTTCTGGACACAAGTAATTCCCCCATCTCAGCTTCCTAAGTAGCTAGGACTGCATGGCTACACTTTCATGCTAAGTGAAAATTCTTTTTGTAAATTTCCACAGGCACAGTAATTTTGTTAAGAGAAATTTAAGTTACTCAACTGCTAATCTCTTAAAGTGTGACCTCTAAACTAGCCCAGGAAAATGCTATATGATGACAATGGAATGGAAAATTCTTGGAGAAAGAGGAATGGCTGTTTGCAGTAGGCCAGTGGGTGAGGATTAGGGATTGATGACAACTTCATGAAACTGTAACTAGGTCACAGAGACAGGAAGTAATGAGGCAGAGGGTGATAAGCATGGTAAGTGGGGCAGTTTGCCTGGACGTGTGGTTATGGCGGGTACTGGACAAGCAGATGGTGTTTGCCAGCATGGCTGGAAACATGAAAAGCCGGTTGTGAGACTCTTGTATGTCTTGTAAGAGAACATCATTTTGGTTTACTCACCAGGGAAACAGTGAGACAAGCTGCTGTGGGAAAGTCATTGCCTTAATTGCACAGGATAGTTTCATAAGAAGACAGTCTAGAATTGAAGAGAACATAGACCAGCATGGCCACCAAGACTGGAAGGGATAAAGGTGCCAGGCAAGATTAGTAGCAAAAGATGCAAAAAGAAAAAGAGGGATTTTTAAATGAAAAGCCAGTTGAGCAGGAGGTATGGGCAAGAGAGAGAAAGCAAACATAACTGAAAATTAATGATGTATGGCAAGATCAGCTACATTTCTTATACAACCCAGGTCTACCTGCCCAGGGGTGGTACTGCCTACCGTGGGCTGGGCCTTCCTACACAGATCAGCAATCAAGAAAGTACCCCACAGGCATTCCCACAGGCCAATCTGATGAGGCAATTCTTTACTGGAGAGTTCCTTTTCTCAGATATGTCAAGTTGGTAACTAAGATTAGCTGTCTTAGCTAGAAATAATGATGGCAGGCAGTGGGGGTGTGTAAAGATAACTCTTCCCACCAACCACCTGAGTTCTGCTGCCCCCTAAATAACACAGAGTCTTATATTATGTACAATGTTGATGGCCAGTGATGGTATTTCTCATTTGCTAGCTCAGTCTTAATTATCAACCATAACCATTTATATATGTATTTTATAAAGACTTATTGAGGATGCTGGCCTTAGCATCCTATCTTCCTGGGATCACATGGCAATTGCTGTCCTTCCTACATTTCCCAGAATCCTCCTCGACTACTAGCCTCCCCTATCTTGCTTTCCTATTGGCCAACAGTGTTTTATTTATCAACCAGTAAGACAAAATATACACAGAAGGACTTCCCCCTTCAGGGGTTCATTTCTTTAATACCAGTACAAGAGACACAGAGGCAGGCAGATCTCTGTAGGTTCCAGCCCAGCTAGGGAAATATAGTAAGGCCATATCTCAAAAAGCAGGAGGGTGGGAGATATATATATATATATATATATATATATATATATATATATATATTGTTGTTTATTATTCTTAGTAGTGACATAGTTCCTAGAAATTGAACCCAGGATTGGGCCCCAGAGCCTCCCCTGGACAAGGAGAGTCTACGAGTTCTACAGTGCTCCCTTTGTCAAGTTTTGGTTTTACACGGTTGGTCTCATTACAATAGTGTTAATTATAATTATTAATTAATTAGCTTATGATAATGTTACTAATGGTATGTCTCATTTGCTAACCTGAGATAAAAGTGTAGGAATTTCATTTTTTAAAAAAAGGGGGAGGAAGATAACAAAGTAGGCAGGTGGGAGGGTTGGAAGAAGACAAGAAAATTGTGTGTGTGTGTGTGTGTGTGTGTGTAGACTGAATGAACATCTCCTTTTCTCACTGCCCCTACCATCCTGGATAGTTTTCTTCTTTGTCTTGTGTTTAATTTGGCACAGACTTTCACCGTCTTCCCTTGCCAGCCTGGAACTCACTAGGTAGATAGAGTTTAGGTTGGTTTTTGAACTTGCAGTAGTCGTCTCATGTCTGCTCCTGAGTGCAGGATTACAGGTGTGAGACCATTCTCAGAGTGTGTTTTTCTCTTGGAGTGCTTAGACTCAGCATAGCCAAGACTGAGCATTTGGAATGTTTAGGTTCAATGAACTTAACAGCCCTGAATGTAAAGATGAATGGTAGCTGATGGGTTCTTTTTCTTTCTCAGACAAAATAAATAAGTAATAAATAAAAATCATCACTTGAACCAATTGTTTTGTAAGAGTAATTTTATTTTTTAAATTTTGGCCTTTAATAGTATATGCTTTAAGTTTAAGAGGACTATTGAGAACATGGGTTGTGGGATCAAATTCTGATCTGCTCTGGGTAGTGGCCATTCAGAGAAAGCATACATGTATTGAACATTTCTCACATTTATTTGGTAGTACTTATTTTTCTAATGTTTACCTATACATAGATTGATCACAGCCAATGATTTATATTCCAAAATCATTTGAAGTGTGATTATAACAGGATGTCTATCTAAATATATATAATATTAGCACCTCAGAATATTGACTTTACATCCACATACTTGCTACACATAATAAATACACAGCTCTGGATGACAGTTACCCATTTCTAAATATTGAGTCTAAGACTGGGGTGATTGCTCAGTTGGTGAAGTGCCTGCAGCACAAACATGAAGACCCAGGCTCAGATCCCCAGCATCCATGTTCAAGCCTAGGCCTGGTGCAACATTTCTGTGATCCCAGCACTCGGAAGGTAGAAACAGACAGATCCCTCCAGCTCGCTGGCTAGTCAGTCCAGCTATATCAGTGAGTTCCAGGTTCAGTGAATGTCCACGACTCAAAAAATAAAGTGAGGTGCTTAAAAAAGATGGCTCCAAGGCAAGAACACTTGCTGCCAACCTTGATAACCTGAGTTTGACCTCAAACTCTACAAGGTGGAAGGAGAGGACTGACTCCTACAAGTTGTCCTATGATTTCCACATGTATGCTGTGGTCTGTGTGCACATGTAACTCAACACTCTGCCTGAAAACAGGTCGACTATGTTACTTTGTATATTATACCTAGATTAGTAATCTCTTCATGTGTACATATGTGTGTGTGTGTGTGTGTGTGTGTGTGTGTGCAGCTGTGCATGTGTGTATGTGAATGCCAGAGTGCTATCCTTGATTGCTTTTCATGTATGTTTGTACATGTAGGTATCCCTTAGAGTCCAGAAGACAGGTCCAGACACCCTGGAACTTGAGTTACAGGCAGTTGTAAGCTGTGCTAGGAACTGAATTCAGTTGCTCAAACAAGACCAGTACGTGTTCTTAACTGCTGAGTCATCTTTCCATCTCTCTAGCCAGAATAACATTTTAATCATCATAAACTAACACTCTAGTGGTAGTGAATACCAGCTTACTGTGAAGATATCCATCTACTGACACTGTTCATCTGGCTGTCTTGGCATACGTATTTTCCAAGCTGAAACTGGAGGGAAGACGTGAGGGTCTTTCCTAGGCTGTTACTAGCTTGCTGGTGTGCATGCTGCAATGAGTAGTGCTAATAGGATAGCATCTCCTCCCTTTACTGGCAAACAGGGATTTTAGTTCCTAGACTGTAGATACTTACGTTTTCCTTGACATCGAGCCATCAATGATCAGAAGATGGTTCAAGTTATATTTTATGTTGTCATGTAGAAGCATGCTGCTTCTGGGCTCTGTCTGCAGAGCTCTGCTTGGCATCCCTCATGGTCATTTGAGCTCACGTCCAGGGAATGTGTGTCCCTCACAGATGGCTTATTTGGCATTCCTCATGCTGTTCACTTACACAGTGTTGGTGGAGATGCAGCCCGAACCCAGCGTGCAAGAGTGGCTTGTCATCATTTACATCTTCACCAATGCCATTGAGAAGGTCAGGGAGGTGAGTGCTCCTTCTGTGTCTTCTGCGAACCCCTGGAAGAGGTGTTCTAAGTCCTGGAAATGAAAATGGACTCATGTCAAGTGTGTGTGAGAGAGAGAGCACACTGATTCCAAATTTGCTGTAAGAAGCTTGCTTGGGGAAAAGTTTCTGGTTTCATTCCTTTATCCTTACCAAATACTTTCTGCTGAACTTTGGAGCACAGTCTCATTGTGTTTGTTACTCAGAGAAATAGGCAATGCCTTCTATTTGCTATTGAACTCTCCAACTGTTTGCTTCCCATGATGTAACTCTCTTGGTCACATGGGTTTTTAATCACCTAGTCTTACCTACACATTGTCAGTTTTACCCAACAGAGTGACACATGAGTGGCTAAAGTTGCACAATATGTAAGGAATACACCCATGACATGAGGAAGTTCTTAGTAAACACCTTAGAAAACTGAAGCCAAATATCCTTCTGGGAGTTTTCCAGGAGTCAAAGAAACAAAACTCGACATTTTCATTTCTACATTGCCACTGGTCACTTAAAAGTTAGCATTCTTAATACAATTGTAAATATAATTCCAAGTAGTTATGATTTTGACTGTCCTAGCTATGGGTGCATGTCTCTGGATGTCTATACATTTGTCTTTCCAGTGGTAATTTCGCCAACATTCTATGCTCAGTAAGCATCTTCTTCGAAATTACACTGCATCGTCTGCTAATGAAGTTCATAACAGAGAAACACTATCTGAATTCTACCACTGTTTTTGTATTTTAGGGTAAACATGCTTACTGTTTACATTGCGGTGTGTCTGCTATAGCATTGCAAGGGGCATTTCTTATAGTAGTAAGTTTCCACATTATGTTCTTAGTGGTGTGCCAAGAGCTCACTCAGTAGCAGCAATAGGACCAGCTCACAGGACTGCTGGGTTTCCCATCAGCATTCTTTGCCCTCAGCTCCTGAAGCAGAATCACAGGCAGAGCCGCTGCAGTGCTGAGCTCAGAAATGCCCTGGTGTTGATGTAAAATTTGGTAGGAATTGTTTTACTCTTTAAGTGAAGGTTAATAAATTTACAAAGATGATGTTGATGGGATTCCCCTTTGGCTGTGGTTTTGGGGCTTAAACCCAGGGCCTTGTATGTTGGAGGCAAGTTCTCTACCACTCTACCTAATCCCCAGCCCTGTACCCTTCTTTAAGTTTTCCTCTTTCTCCCTTTAGATATGCATTTCAGAACCAAGCAAGTTTACTCAAAAGGTGAAGATGTGGCTGAGTGAATACTGGAACCTAATAGAAACTGTGGCTATTGGCCTATTTTCAGTTGGTTTTGGCTTACGGTGGGGACACCCCCCTTTGCACACTGCAGGAAGACTCATCTACTGCATAGACATCATATTCTGGTTCTCTCGGCTCATGGACTTCTTTGCAGTGAACCAACATGCAGGTCCATATGTGACCATGATTGCAAAAATGGTATGTAAGCCTCATGTTTTTACACAAATGCCCCATTGGCTTTACTGCCACGTTTCATATCTCATACTTAAACTTTCTCTCTTGTGATCTATGCGTGTGCACACGTATTTGTTTTTGGGTGCCCTCACTCATGTTTGCCTGTGTAGAGGGCAGGAATCAATGTTGGTTTCCCTTCACTATTGCACTCGTCTTAGTTGTTTGAAGAGACAATATGACCAAGGCAACTTATCAAAGAAAGAATTTAATTTGGGGGCTCATGGTTCCATAAGCATTAGAGTCCTTGACCATTATGGTGGAGAGCACGGCAGCAGACACGCAGGCAGGCAGGCAGGCAGACAGGCAGGCATGTTGTTGGAGCAGGAGCTGAGAGCTTACATCTAATCCACAAGCACAAGGCAGACAGAAAGCTAACTATGGTATAGGCTCTGAAGCCCCTAACCCCCAGTGGCACACCTCCTCCAACAAGGCCACATCTCCTAATCCTTCCAAAACAGTTCCACAAACTGGGGACCAAACATTCAAATACATTGGCTTATACAGGCCATTCTCATTCAAACCACCATAGCTCTTGACCTTATTTTTTTGAAACAGGTGCTAGTTATTGAACTTGAAGCTCTGTTTTGTCTAGACTGGCTGCCTAGCAAATTCCCAGGAGCCATCTGTCTCTCCAGACTGTGGCTGGCTTTTATATACTTTCTGGGAGTGCATTCTCAGGTCCAGCAAGCAGTTTAACAGAGCCATCTCCCTAACCAACTAGTCAAATGTCTGAACTGTTTCTAGAGGCATATAGACTCATTTTGGGCTAAACATAAACTTGTATGTAAAGTGGGCCTGGACAGCACATTGGGTAGTTAATAGGAACACTTAGTTTAGCCTTTGGTGAGGCCTGACTATATGAGATTGAGTCACGTTTGTCTTTGATTTGTATGAGGCCAAACGTTTCTCTGAAAGTGCTAATTAATTCTTTTATCACTGGCTTTCTCTTACTCTTAAGTAGTATTCACTATGGACCACACACTGTACTAGGTATTTTGTATATATTAACTCATAATGCCTGCAGCAACTTAATTAAATAAGTAGTATTATCTACTTTTGTGTACAAGGAAATGGACATTAAGTAAATTCCTCATGAGCGTATGTGGGGATCCATGCTTCCTTCTGAAGTCGGTGGCCTGGCTCTAGTTTATGCACTGAGCTTGCTGAACATTGTACCAGGTTTTGCCATCTGGAATTTTGAAAATACCCAAACATCTACCCTCTCTATGCACAACATCACTGTTATATTGGCATTTGCTTCTCTAATACAGGAAAGGCAGTGCTCTGGAGGACCAGGGGTAGTTTAGAAATAAAGGACTGGAAGAGCCTCAAGATGGACCTTGCTGCTTCTACTTCCATCTCTCCCTGCTTCTTATTTTCTTCCTCTTTCTCTCATCCTTTTTCTCCTCCCAGCAGGACTGGGGATCAAACGTAAGGCCTCGTGCATGAGAGGCAAGGCAGACGCTCTACTGCTGATTCCTAGTCCAGCCCTCTGATTTTCTTTACCTTTACTACTTTTCTCTTCTACCATAAATGCATCCTCTGATTTTGGTAACATCACATTTAATAGAGGAGCTGTGTGAGATATCTCAGTGATTTGGCACAAGGTATTTTCTCCCTGAAGCTGGGTATGATGGGTTTTCCAAGTGTTGACTCCAGGATGCAGAATTTCCCCTTTGTGTGGCGTAGCCATGCCACTTTGACCCTTCCAGGGCTCCTTGGGCAGCAACAACAGTGATAGTTAGAGTTTAGCACTGTTTAACAGCTTGGGCAAAGTCCCAATTGTCACTCTCAAGACTACTGGCTACTTGGATCTTGTAGTTACCACTTAGTAAGGTAAGAAATGTGGAGGAAATGGAAACACTGGTGACTTCTGAGTCTGCCACACTGAACAAGTGGGTTGAGTTGATGAATTTTGCAAGATGGAGGGAAACTGATATAATCAATTCTCTTGATACTACATGGCTCTGGGAACTCTGGGACATAATTCTGGGAATAGTCATTGGAATAATTCGAATGTCTTATCCTTTTAAAGTATTTTCTAACCACATCCTTGATTTAATTGGTCATAAGTTGGGGGCTAGTCAGTCAAAACAGTTAGCATTTGATGGCTGCTTCTAGAAAGAGTATTTGTAATTTCTGCACATCATGTGACTCCACAGATGTCACCAACCTAAAGCACATCCCGTGTAGGGAAAAAGGAAAGAGCTTAGCCAGAGACAACTCAGCTGTTTTGGATGGAGGCATTTTAGCCACCGACTAGACTGTCTGCTGCCTCTAGTGTGTAGTGATGACTGCTAGGGCTTGATGTGTGGTAAATTCTGGTTGTGCTGTGCTGTTTTGCAGGCAGCAAACATGTTCTACATTGTGATCATGATGGCCATTGTCCTGCTGAGCTTTGGCGTGGCGCGCAAAGCCATCCTCTCACCACATGAGCCTCCTTCATGGCGCCTGGCTCGAGATATTGTATTCGAGCCATATTGGATGATGTATGGAGAAGTCTATGCTTCAGAGATAGATGGTACATACGGGGTTTGCCCTCATGCAGAAACAGAACCCCTGTAGACACTCAGAGCAAAAACAGATCTGGAGAGAATTCACGAGAATCTTTTAAACATGTAAAGTGTGTGGCATGCTGTGAGTTACGGGGCCAAATATTTACAGAGGGCCCCAGGGCTGTGATTTATCTCATCCCACTCTTAAACTCTTTGTTTGTAGTTTGTTCAGGTGAAACGTCTTGCCCTCCGGGTTCTTTCCTGACTCCATTCCTGCAAGCTGTCTACCTCTTTGTTCAGTACATCATCATGGTGAACCTGCTGATTGCCTGCTTCAAGTAGGTAACTTTCATTAACTATGGCCATTTTGTTTACCAAAATATAGGAGCAGCTAAGTTGAACATATTCCTCTGCGAGTTGAGTATATGACCTTTGTTTACGTGTGTCCCATGCTATGTTACTGTGGCTTTAAAGCAAGGACATAAAATTATTTGTAGGAAAGAATTGGAACTCTTAGACCATTAGACCATAAGGGATAGCGGAAGTGGTAACTGAAGTGGGGGAGAGAAGATCTGGGCTGTCACCGTGTAGTCGGAGTCCTGCTGAATGATGGTCAGAGCTGACGGCTCACAAAGAGCTTTATGTGTGCTTTCCTCATGTGGCCCCTGTCTGTCTCACCTCCTTTCTTCTCTCTCACAGTCAGCTTCTTCTTCCCAGTCTCCTTTTCTGGCTCAACTTCACCATTTCACACCCAAAAGTTCTTGGCCCTAGACCTTGCGCCTTTTCCTTTCTCTTTTGTACTTTTTCACGTTCGTGTTCAGTTTCCTGTATGTATATCTGGAAGTCACATTTCTATATCCAGCTCTGCTGACACTCCGGGCTTATCAATCCACTGACCCTCCTGGTGACAAACGCTCTCCTATGGCTTCTTCATTCACATGATTCTGTTGCAATGTTTAGCTAGCATTATTGTCGCAGTGCTTGCTTCTTGCCTATGAGGGATATGTTTATAAAGCCAACAGCATAGAAGACATCACCCTTGTTTATAATGAAGGATGAATTGTGTTTTGGAAAAGAGCATCACATATGACAAGCAAAGGTGCCTCATATGCAGTGCTGAGTGACATGGGGCAGTTTCTGTTCCCTGCCTAAAATGCTGTCATTTTTCTAATCTCTGATTTCAATGTCTGCTTTTTGTTCATTGTTCCAGTGAACACACTTAGCTGTAAAAAGTGCTTACTCTATTTGATGAAAGAAAACTTGTAAGTGGATAATACTTATTGGCTGACTGCTGATGACTGTTAACCAATCAGAAGAGCCGGAAGATAGAGTCTGTCACATTTCAGGGTCCCATATTAAACAGTTCTCTCTTTCTCCTTTCTCAACCTGCAGCAACATCTACTTAGATATAAAATCCATCTCCAATAAACTCTGGAAATACAATCGCTATCGCTACATCATGACCTACCACCAGAAGCCCTGGCTACCCCCACCCTTCATCCTGCTGAATCACCTGTGCCTGCTCCTCCGAGGTCTATGCTGCCGTCCAACACCACAGGACCAAGAAGAGGGTGATGTAGGGCTAAGTAAGTTTCTCTGGTGGAACAGAAGGAGGGAAGGAAATAAAGGGTTGAGACACAGGGAGTAAAGAAAGGAGGAAGATAAAGGCTGGAGACACTGGAGCCTGGTCATTCCAGTGAGGGCACAGCATCAAGGCTCTCAGCAGACAGGCTGCAGACCCTCACCTTTGTCTGGGGTCTCAAGAGTATTTTTGCCCCTGTTAAATGGTATGTTGAAGGAGAGAAGCAGGAGATTGAATTCAAGGAGGCTTTAGACCTTTTAGAAAACCTGGCTTTTCTCTGCTGACCTGGGAACTCCTCTGAGTACCTCTTAGAGTTATCACCTGACCTGTACTTACTGCCCTGTTGTGTAAAAAGGAAAACAATCTTAGGAACTGCATTCTCCAAGTTTGGGGCGGGGGTTGGCAGGTGTGGGGGAGTCGTGGGTTTAGGGGAGTGGCTGCTGTTGTATGCCTGGGCCTGAAAAAGTTCATGCATATAGGACATCAGAGATGGGGACTGTGGGAAACGATCATTTCATTTAATGTTGACTCGAAATCCTGGGTCCAGGGAAACAGAGAAGCAAGCTCTGCCAGAATCACAGCTCTGGTTCCTCATCCTAGGACAGGTGACTCGAAAGGCCTGGGTCCAGGGAAACAAAGAAGCAAGCTCTGCCAGAATCACAGCTCTGGTTCCTCATCCTAGGACAGAAGAGGGTCCGAAAAGGATGTTTCTTATTTTCAAAACATCAACATGAAATGCAGGAACATGGAAATATGTGTTCTCATTTTGCTTTGTTTGAATCAGGATACTTACTTTTTTTTTTTTTTCCGGGTGTGACCCAGGGTATGTACTTCTATAAAAGAGGTACATACTAATAACAAATCACGAAGACATTTATTTAAAAGCAATCCTGGGCATGGTTGTAGAGATAACTCAGTGGTTAGGAGAACTGGCCGTTCTCAGAGGACTTGAGTGTGATTCCTAGCACCCATATGGCAGCTTACAACCATCTGAAAGTCCAGTTCTAAGGGATCTAACTCCCCCTTCTGGCATCCATAGACACTGCATGCATGTGATAACACAAGCAAGCAAAATACCCAACATATTAAAAATTTTAAAAAAATCCTTGGGTATCAGTTTATTAAAGACAAAGCTAATTTACATAACGATGAGATGGATGTGCTTGTTGTTTTGCACAAAGAATTTAATGTTGACTATTTTATTTTTAATGGTATAGAGTGTCCTCAGTGTTTATGGACATTTTGATTTTGTAATTGTCAGTGCTAGGAATCACTTTCCATAAATACATGGTACAAAAGGCAAAAGTGTATTTAGAGCCATATAATCCCAAGCCAAAATTCTTTTAATGACTCCTTTGAAACTCAGCAACTTAGATAGCAGATTTAAAAATCACATAACACACTTCAAGGACATGCTATTTTAGTATTTTTCTGCTGGGGAAAACATTACTATTATTTGCTATTTTGATAATTAAACAATTACATTTGTATATGAGCAGACAACTCTGTCCTTACATTACAGTTCACTATGTTCCCCACCTGTAGTTGTGTGGAATTGGAGCTGGGGTGTTCACTAGGACTGTCTGGTGTGGTGGCAGATTGTAGTGAAGACTGTAGTGTAGAGTGAAGACTGTAGTGAAGTCTCATGATACAACACAGTAAACACTGCCATACACACCTGATGATACAGTGAACACTGCCACACACACCTGATGATACAGTGAACACTGCTATACACACCTGATAATACACTGAACACTGCTATGCACACCTAATGATACTCCTTATTTCTTCTCAAGTGATTTGGCCATTAGAAGGAAGCAAAGAGCCAGCCACCAGCAGCTTGTCATTCTAGCTCAGGGTGGGGAGAGGTGAGCCGTGGGGGGACTTGAATCATGGTAGACCTGGACTACATGGCAAGATACTGTCTCAAAAAACCAAACCAAACCAAACTAAAACAAAACAAAAAACCCAAAATAACACACAAATAAGCAAACACAAAGGCACAACCGAAGTTGAGGTGGAGGCACGTACTGAAAATTTTCCATTTCTGATAGTGAGCTGAACCTGGCTCTCATTGGAAAGCCACAGTGACTCAGTACATTGTGCAACCCCAGGAAAGATCCTGGGCTAACTAGACCTGGCCAGTTCCGGTGGCGGAGCCTTTCTCCGGTTTATAGGATGTTTTCCACAGCAGATTCTCTTTTTCTAAATCACTTATTCATTTATACGTCATGTGTATAGGTGTGTTGATTGTGTGTAGGTCTGGGCACTGCTTGAGAATGCCTGACTCAAAAGTTTTCTCCTGGCCTCTTTCCTCCCCTTTAAAAAGTTTAAAGATCGAGCGGAGCACACATGGGCCCGCAGTGCCACCTGGTGGATAATCTCAGGAACTGCATTCTCCAAGTTTGGGGCGGGGGTTGGCAGGTGTGTGGGAGTCGTGGGGTTAGGGAGTGGCTGCTGTTGTATGCCTGGGCCTGAAAAGCTTCATGCTTATAGGACATCAGAGATGGGGACTGTGGGAAACGATCATTTCATTTAATGTCTAAAAGATTCTTCCACACCATACAAATCACAAAATACTTTGTGCTTCAGTTGTGGGCACATTTATTTATTTATTTATTTATTTTATAGCTAAACACATCTTCAATTTGAAACTAATGTCTTATTGCTCATTAGATTGGAAAATAAAGAAATTTTTGCATTATTAATAAATTATGGAGAAATGTAACATTTGATTTTCTTCTGACTTAAGTGAAGTCATGAAAGAACTTTCCAATGTTATCCTCTTAGTGACATCACATCCTCTTGATATTTCCCAAGTATTAGGAACACATTTAAAGGTGATTTCTGATTTCACTCACTGAGAGCCAAGGCAGTGTATGAACAGGAATGCTGAGGTTGCATGAAGGACAGAGTTGGTCTCAGTGCCACTGGGTGAGGTACCCTTTAATGAATGAATTAATTACTTCAGGGAAGGTGTGCTGTGCTGACTGACCGTGGTCAGTAGCTCTCTTCAGAAGTCCTGCCCTGCTCAGTCTGACAAGGGGCATCCCTGGGACTCTCTTGCTATTCAGCCCAGACAGATTGGTATGTCCCAGGTTAGTGAGAGACCTTGACTTCAGAAACACAACCAGAAGGTTGACCTCTGACCTCTATATGCATGTGCACACATGTGTGTTTCATATGTTTGCCTTCCCTATGAACACACAGACACACAAATACATATAGAAAAAGGTATGTTGTAACATGAAAAACAAAAGACCCAGAGTTAGGTATTGGGTTCTAGATTTAAGTTGAGGATCAGAGAAGCAAAGCAGTCAGCCACTAGGTCTGACCTCTCCCTCAGGCTGAAAGGGCTGTCCTGTCTCCACAAATCCTCAGAGACAATGCTATCACAAATCCTCAGAGGCAAAAGCTCTGAGTTCCTGTCTCCTCCTGCCTTACATTCCTTTCTCTGCTCAGCTATATTACTCCTGTTTTCATCTTCCTAGTGCAGTAATTGAAATTGTGTGATCCCAAGTGCTGGGACCAAAGGCGTGAGCTCTGTTACTCTTCATTCTTGTGTAGGTCAGGGTGGAACTCAAAGAGATCCATCTGCCTGTCTCCTGAGTCCTGGGATTAAAGGCATGTGCCACTACTGCCTGACCTCCATGGTTTTGCTAGTGTGGCTGCTGGGATTAAAAATGTGTATCACCATTGCCTGACCTCTATGGCTTGTGGCTAGCTTTGCTTTCTGTATCCTCCGGCAAGCTTTAATAAACCGTAAGTTATCACATATCACCACAGTATGAGTACATAGAATGCATGCATAGACAATAATGTATTTTACCATTTTGTCCCATAAAATGCCGAAAAATCGTGATCATAGAACACCAGTAGTACCACTTGTAGTGAAGTGTAAACAAATACAAAGACACAGTATTAAATTGCAATTGTATTATATTAATTGTAGTAGTAATGTGACACTTCATAGTCACCTTCTGCTGCCCCCTGAATGATCTAAAGTTCATCTGCTTAAGACACTGTGTAATGCTCATCACTGTGTGAGCAGCTCATCTCCTTCCCCAGTGCTGGGACTGAAAGAAAGCACCGCCACACCACGTCATTTTATGTGGGGTCTGAAAATGAAATGCAGGTCCTCATGCCTGCATGGCAAGTATTGTTATAGACTATACTATTACTCCACCCCCTTTCTTAATTTTGAAAAGTTCAAAAGTGACTTCTCATAATTTTACCATATACAAT